TAGTTCGAAGTGATAACGGCACATAGTTCAATTCCTTGAAAAATTATTTCATTGCTAATGGGATTATTTTTGAGTCATCATGTGTTGGGACGCCTCAACAAAATGGCCGGGTTGAGAGAAAACATCAACATATTTTGAATGTGGCTAGGGCATTACGGTTTCAAGCTAATTTGCCTTTGAAATTTTGGGGGGAGTGTGTTCAAGGGGCTTGTCATTTAATCAATAGAACACCCTCAAGATTACCCAACTATAAAACACCATTCGAAATTCTATTTAATAAATTACCCTCTTATGAGTACATTCGGGTTTTTGGTTGTTTGTGTTATGCCCATAATCAAAAGAGTAAAGGTGACAAATTTTCCAATCGGAGTAGAAAATGTGTCTTCTTAGGCTATCCCTTTGGGAAGAAAGGATGGAGAGTGTATGATTTGGAGACAAAACAAATGTTTATTTCACGGGATGTGCAATTTTTTAGAGTGATTTTCCTTATATTCAACCCGAAATTGACATCTCACCTAAGCCCCGGGTTGTTCCTGTGATGGAAGAGTATGTTAGTGATGATGAATGGGGGTTGGAGTCATATGCTCATAGTGGGATGAGGGATGAGAACGCTGGTAGTAAGCAGCCCCTAACCAGCACTGATGACAGGGGCCTTGAGGGCGCTGGCAGCCCGATGATCCCCTCCTGCTAAGCGTCTGATCAGCCCGATGGATTTCCATCGGGCGCAAGTGCAGGAGGTGCGGTAGAGCAGTGACAGTCACTGCATACAGAAGCTGAACAGCAGCAGCTGCTGCACTCCGAGGCAAATCAGTCTCAGCAAGCGACTGATGATGATGCAATGGGAAAAGGGAAGAGGACTAAGATCCCTTCGGTTAAGTTTCCTGATTTTGTAACTCACACCATACGATATAAAAGTCCATCCACGTCTCAAAGCTCACTCACGCCAACTTCCTCAGAAACTGTTTATCCTATAACACATTTTGTTGATTCTCACCGTTTTTCTGCGAAACATAGAACATACATTGCAGCAATCACAGGTGGAAAAGAGCCGAAGAATTTTAAAGAGGCTATAAAACACGAAGGGTGGAGAAAGGCGATGGCAGATGAAATTCAGGCTTTTGAAGAGCAGGACACATGGGTGCTTGCTGACTTACCTCGTGGCAAAAAGGCACTTGGAAGCAAATGGGTGTACAAAGAGAAGTATGACGAGCATGGAAATTTGCAGAGATTGAAAGCTAGACTAGTCATCTTTGGAAATCATTAGGTTAAAGGACTAGACTATAATGAAACATTTGCCCCAGTAGCGAAGATGGTGACAGTTCGAACCTTTCTCGCCGTAGCTGCAGTGAGAAATTGGGATGTGCATCAAATGGACGTCCACAATGCCTTTTTACATGGAGACTTGGAGAAAGAGGTATACATGAAAATTCCCCCTGGTTTTAACAAAAATAACTCTGGGAAAGTGTGCAGGATGAAGAAGTCATTGTATAGCTTGAAGTAGGCTCCTCGTTGTTGGTTTGCAAAATTGACGACGGCTTTGAAAAAATATGGCTTTGAATAGTCATATTATGATTATTCCCTTTTTACTCTGATGAGAGGGAAAATGCAACTTAATGTGCTAGTCTATGTTGATGATTTGATTATTGCAGGGAATGATAAATCTGCTATGATTGAATTTAAATCATACTTGGGAAATTGCTTCAAGATGAAAGATCTTGGAGTGTTAAAATATTTTTTGGGGATAGAGGTAGCCCGAAATGCACAGGGAATATTTATCTGTCATAGAAAATATGTGATTGACATAATTACTGAAGCTGGCTTAATAGAGGCCAAACCTGCAGAGTTTCCTATGGAACAACATCACAGGTTAGCCTTAGCTCAAGGTGAGTATTTGCATGATGTTGAGAAATATCGTCGCCTCATAGGGCGTCTGATCTATTTATCTGTGACGAGACAGGATTTAGCATATTATGTGCATATTTTATCATAGTTTATGCAAAATCCCAGGATTAGCATAGGGAAGCAGCTCTGCGAGTTGTGAGATACTTGAAGAAGAGCCCGAACAGGGAATTTTGTTGAGATCTGATAGTGCGTTACAGTTGGAAGGGTGGTGTGATTCAGATTAGGCAGGTTTCCCCCTTTCCAGACGATCATTGAGTGGTTGGTTTGTGCTGCTTGGTTTGTCCCCAGTATCATGGAAAACCAAGAAGCAACCTACAGTTGCTCTTTCTTCATCAGAAGCAGAATATCGTTGTATGAATGCAACGACTTGTGAGTTGAAGTGGTTGAAACAACTACTTGGTGATTTAGGTGTCAGACATGAGAACGGGATGCATCTTTATTGTGATAGCTAGTTTGCGTTGTACATTGCGCAGAATCCAGTGTTTCATGAACGAACAAAACATATAGAATCAGATTGTCATTTTGTTCGGGATGCGATTATGGATGGGACGATTGTACTTTCGTATGTTCCTACGACGGTTCAGTTGGCTGTTATTTTTACTTCGAAAGTTCGATTTTCTACTTTGTAAGTTGGGCATGACCCGTATGCTCCAACTTGAGGGAGGATATTGGGATAATATTAAATATGTGAATATTGTTATTGTGATATATTGTGGTTATCTTAGGAAGTTTATCTTTACAGAATATTAGAGTATGCCTCTTAAGTATATATTGATGTAATGTGGCCGTAAATATGATATGAGAAATATACAGAGTATTTTGATGAACTCTGCTTAACTTAACACTAACCTAGTTAAGACCAATAATTAAGACCATCTCCATCATGATAATACCAGTTACAACTTTGAATTGGGAGATAATACTTACATATAATCGCTTATGTGACAAGTTTATAAGTTGAAAAGTGATATGGTGAAATGAAACAAAAAAAAGTTACACATGGCGAAATGACACTACTTATCTTGGAGTTTTAATTGTAACATAGATATAGATTTTTGTTTATCTAGTTTATATATTGGCGTGGAGCTTGCTCCTTTGAAATAACAAATAAATTTTGCTTCAAGTATTAATGAACAAACCAAGCTTTTCATGGTGTTCGAGGATCTTGATGGTTTGGGGATCGACATAATATATTGAAAGTTTATGAAAGTTAGATGTGCAGTCGTATGAGACAGTGACGAGTTGACGACTGACGAATGACGACCAGGTAAAAAGAACTGTTCGCAGAAGTCACCAAATTTGAAGCAACAGGTTGTTATAAAATACTTGCTTCAAATTAAATGGTCTCGTAAAAAAATAATTAAATAAATAAATGGTCAATTATCTCCTACTGTTTAGGAACGTAGAGACTAGAGTAGAACTGCTCAGAATAATTTGATGGTTTGATAGTTTGGTTTTGGTTCGGTTTGAATATGAATCAGTATGAAATTGCTTCAAGTGCCTTGCATATTAGTTTCAATTCGGTTCAAATTATTGTTGATTTGGTTTGGTTTCGGTTTATTCTTAAGTTGTTATAATTCGGTTCGCTTGTAAACGGTTTGAGTAGTAAACGGTTTGTTGCAGACAAGTTGCGGTTTGTAAACGGTTTTTATCCGGTTCAAACAGTTTCAAGTTGGAAACGGTTTCGGGTTAAAAATGGTTCCGTTTCAAAAAGGGTTCGGTTATTAAACGATTTAACATTATTCAGATCGGTTCGGTTTGATTTCGGGATACTACAATATGGTTCGATCCGATTTTTAGTTTCATAAATCAGTTGTTAATCGGTTCAATTTTCATTAGGGTTGGTTGGTTTCAGGTGGTTAAATAGTTTGATTAATAATATTCTTTATTATTATTTTTGTTTGACTTTAATTTGTTTTTGAAAGATCAAAGAATCATCTCATTTTAAAAATTTTGAGAATTACAATTATACATCATAAGAATTTGATTAGGGCAGCTTTGGTCTAATATAATTCTGATCAAAATATAAAGCACTTTGATGATGTCACCTAAAGAGAAGATGAAGATTATTTATGCTCAATCCATAATTACATAAATAAAAGTCAGGGAAAACAATAATGTACTCCGTAGTAAACATGTGTGTATAATTAGATTTCATTTAAAATTTCTTTTAACGTGATTTTAATCTTTCCTTTATAGTAAGCGGTTTGTAAACAGTTCAATTTATAAGCGGTTCGTTCTTAAACGGTTCATTCTGTAAGTGGTTTGTTTTGTAAACGGTTACATTTGTACACAGTTAGGTGCAAACAACTTGCGGTTTGTTAACCGTTCGGTGAACACAATTTTTATCCATGTTCAAACAATTTCAGGTTGGAAACAATTCGATTCTTTTTTTTTTTTTGTTCAGTTTTATTTCAGATCAGTTTAGAACTATTCGGTTCGTTAATGAGTTTGGTTCTTATACGTTTAAACATATAAACTCGAATCGTTTCAGTTTCAAGTTTATTAAAATACGGTTTGGGTTAGTTTTCGATTTCAAAAAATTCTGTTTTTAATCGGTTCAGATTTCATTTGGATCGTTGACAAAGCTAAGTGAGACATATCAATGTTTGTTAATTAAGATTATGCTTATTGATTAAATATTGTTCTTATGTATAAGAGAATAATTTCATGTGTTTTAAACTTTAGTTTAATTTGTTACTTCGCTATTTTTTGTCCTTTATTTTGTTTCTTGTGGAATTGCAACTTAGCTTGGTACATCGGATCTATATGGTATTTTTGTAAATAAATCAACAACTGTGAAAACATATTTGATTAAAAAATTGTTGATTTATTTCCATTTTTGCCATTTATTTTCTCGATATCCAAGTCTAAGTTGTAAAGATTTCAAGACAACATCCTCCGGTCAATGGCTACAACACATTGTATAATTCCACATAAAAATATTGGAGGGAGCTTTCTCTACATATAAAGCGGTTCCCTTAAGAATTATAGGAAAATCATTTATGGAAACATTCAGTAGAATGCTGTAGAAAGTAATCTTAATGTTTTACTTTTTTTTTGGTTTTAATTCGAACGAAGAAACCAAACATTAGCAGTAAGCTCCACAAACGGATAAAATTCAATCATACAGACTAGACAAAAAATATCAGTTATTCGATGCCTTACTCCCCTTCTTCGGGGAAGCTTTAGGTGTGTCAAGGAAACCTATGAACAGTAGAAAAGCTGCCTTCATTATAAGAGAATCTAAGGATATAATGCAAACTTCACTCCAAAAATTCATATAATAAGAGATACCAAGCAGTTAGATAACAAATTTAAAACAAAAACATGTTTATGAGTGATAAGATGGGCTAGCCCGTGAAGCACCAGGTGCAGGCATTGGCATAGAAGTGCCTGGGGCTGGTGAAATTGGAGCAGAGGCATACGCAGGCATAGGAGATGATGTATATGTCTGACCGGGAAACGTGCTAGGTACTGAAACAAATGTTTGCCTACCATGCTGCATTGATGGGTCCCATGAGGGTGCAGGTGCCGCATGATTCTGAGGCGGTATGTTAGCACCATTACTGTATCCATTTGAAGGATATCCCGCACTTGTTTGAGGGTTCATCCATGGTGCTGCAGGAGCTCCATGATAACTTGGAGCCTGTTGCACTGCTAGCATAGTTGGTTCTGGGATTGTGTAATCTCTACTTTTGTCACTATGAGCCTATGACAGGGGGCAGAAAAACCACCGCATAAATTAAGGATTTTTCATTAGCAATAAATTCAAGAAGCATGCACAAATGAACATAATTCTAGAAAGTATATTCTAACCATTGTATTGCAACTCTCTTTAAAACAAAGCACATAATATACCTTTACATTGAGATCAGTATGACGAGAATATGTTAGATGAAGCTTACAATAGCCACCATCATAAATGCAATGTCCTTCCAAAGATTCTTTCGCAACAGAAGCCGTACTAACATCTGAAAAAGAAACAATACAAATACTTAGAAACCTCAATGACTTCCATAACTAGGTAGAGAAGATGCATGGCACTAAAGACCATCAATCTTTTCATAGTAGACCATCAATCTTTTCATAGTAGACCATCAATCTTTTCATAGTGTTTAAATGAAGAATTATTAGAAGCAAAGATCACAGATTACGATCGCCAAAGCTAGCCCCACAAGTTTTATTATTATTTTAATATTATTATTATATAGAAAGCTGTAACAGTGGTCATTTCAGATCAAGAAACAACAGCCAGTGAAAATTCTAACCAAGCAGATAGTTTGAATCAAAAAATTATAATATCAAGACTATTGATATTGTCTTTCCATCCAACTGAATCGATGAAACAAATACTACGTCAGAAACAAGAATTTTAAGACCAAAAAAAGACTTTGATGTCAATAATAATAAATATAAATAATTAAAACCCTACAAGATATAAGCATCAAATGATAAACATAGACACATAGCTGAAGAACTAAGAAGATTGTCTAACAACGTCACAAAATTCAAATGCATTGACTAAATCATACTAACGACTTGGCTTTTAAGACAGTTAACATGCCTGCAGCTCATTCAAGAGACCACAATTATCAAGCATTTGCCTTTGGAAAAATACAGTTCATGAAAAGGATTATTCCAATATGTTAATTGAACCATACAACAAAGGATGATTGGATGAATCATGAACATCTTCAAAAATTAAAAAATTAAAAAAGGGTTTTTCTAATCTATACCCTTGAGATCGTTGAGTTTTTAAGGTATTCCCTATGCTTTTTCAAAATTACAAGTTGGGCCCTCCAACTTAAGGTATTTAATTAACTTTATCCTTTGACATTAACTCAAAGCAGTGTTTGAAAAAGCACGCCTAAGGCGGGGTAAGCGCTTTTTTTGGCCTAGGCGAGGCGATTTTGATAAGGCGCACCTGAGGCGCCCGAGGCGCACCTGAAGCATAATTCTGCCAATTTATTTCAATTATATATATAGTGTGCCACACTGAAATGAGGCGCACCAAGGCACTGCATATCCCTTATCGCCTCAGCGCGCCTTTGAGCTTTTTTACACATTGACTCAAAGTTAGTATTTCTAAGAAAATGGGAAGTAATAAGAAGCGGATGAGAAAAAAGAAAAAGTACACCGAGAACTTGACATATCAATGGTTGCATTAAGAAGAAAGAAGAAAAAGTAGATGAGAAAGCGTGGAAAAAATGCATAGGGACCGCCTGAGGGTATAGCCATAATATTTTCTGGGTTAATTATTACGAGCTTTTAAAGGAATGAGGGTAATTATTTGGGCCCGTAATTTATCCCCCCAAAACAGGAGTAAAACATTACACTGCCCCCCTAGGGTAATACTTTACAGGTTAAAATCAGCCCAAAAATTACATCATCTCTTTCCTATCTCCAACCTTTGTACTCCCAACCTAGCTATGGCGGCTGAAGCTTTCTCTCTCCTCCTCTTCCTCTCCTCCTTCAAACAAGTTGACTGAAGAATTGGATTTGAAGGTGCTTCCCTCTTTGTAAATTGCCCCAAATTGAAGTTTAATTTGAAGGTTAACCATTCTATTTTGGTTATTTAATCTGTGGATTTTCAATTTTCGATTTTTTTTCGTTTTTATTTACGATTTAATTTAGCCCTAATTTATGAAATTGAACTAATTATTAATTCAATTTGTGCGGTTTTTGTGATAATATGAAGTAATTGCCCTGGATTTAATACATCCAAACTTGTTAATAATGGATTGGAATTGATTAACCCATTAAAACTCCCACACCTGATTAATATTAGCTCCTAAAAATTTTATACTCATATCACTTTTCCCTTAATAGTTAGTGTGTTAAAAATCTACCCCCTAATGATTACTTGTAATCCAGGCGACCCCTTAATGTCAATCCCCTTGTATAATTCTAACTCATTTTGGGCATGAAAATTCTCTATAAAGTGGGATAATCAATAGTTAACCTAACTTCTAACGTTGGGTTAACATCAGAGGTTACCGTTAAATAATCATCTTAAGTTGGAGACCGCATCTTATAATTTCAAAAAAGCATGGGCACACCTTAAAAACTAAACAACCACTAGGGCATAGCTTAACACCCACCCCCCCCCCCCCAAAAAAAAAAAAAAAAAAAAAAAAAAAAAGTAACAATCACCATTACTTTCACTTTTCTTTAATTGATTTTGTCCATTCGAACCACAAAATCCCCCTACCCCCACGAAAAAAAAAAAAAGAATGATTTGAGAATGTCACGTCAGTAGCATAACCATGCAAGAAATTATGTTAATAACATGTTACAATTTACCGCATTGAAATCCTAAATATTATAGAGATGCAGAGAAGCTATATCCTCAAGACACTAGCAGCCTAGGATTGGGGTATTACTCCAAATCCAATCAAGAATTAGAAAAAGTACTCCCTTCGTCCCTTAATTACATTCCTATTTCTAAATTTACACAGGAATTAACGAACTTGGAGTAACCTTAAAACCCATGATTAGAAAGTACAATGGGAATTACAAGACATTTATTGCTGTCTTTGAATAAAAAAAAGATAGAATGATATTAAATGAAGCACATGTCATCAATCCTTTGAAAAGAAAAAGGACCAATCACATTTGTTTATGAAAAATAGAAGGACCAATCATATTCAATTATGTGCTGCACATGGATTCGGAATGTTAAGAGTGAGAAAAAATGAGTGAGAAAATTATGGTTTCTATGCAACCATTAATTACAAAACAGAAAAATAATTAAAGTAATGCCACATCACAACTATTTGGGGATATTTGGTAAAAATTTACTAACTAAAAAGAGAAAGTAGGAATGTAATTTTAAAACACCCTAAAAGGAAAGCAAGAATGTAATTAAGGAACGGAGGGAGTAGAGCATAAATAATGAGGGAGGTGTTTTTCAAAGTGTTTCCTAGTAAAAACAGAAATGTGACCTTTTCTAACGGTCATATATCTTTCAGAATAGGCAACTTAGTTAACTACATACAGAATGTAAGGTCCAAAGAGTATCGCAAATTGGAAGAACAGCCAAATAGATCACATATATCCAGAAGTAAGAAACTTAACACAACACAAAGATGATAAATTACTTATGAGGTGGTGGGAGTGGGCAATCTCTTACCAGGATACTGAATTAGAGCCTGTGTCTGGCCATTTTTTTCAAATATAGCTATTTTTTGAACAGTGCCAAACGCAGAAAATACCTGTAAAAATCTTTTGATAAGCATAACAATAAACAGAACTCGCTAGTAATAGCCAAAATGTGACGCTGATGATACAATTTATTACCGTATGAAGAACATCAACAGTAACAGCATATTGCATATTCTCGATTGCAGCAAGAAGTACATTGCTCTCCTGATCTTTTTTAACTCCGTCAGCACCAACAACAGGCTAGACAAAGACAATTAGTCAGCATATCTGTAACACTGTAAGTTAATTCACTTTCATGATATAGAAACGCACCTGAACAAGACCTTCAAAAGCAGTAGGGTTCACAGGAAGGTAAGGATTGGTATAGTCCCTGCAGATAGATAAGAAATTTTTAAAATGAATTGCACCATTACAACAGTAGCAAAACCAGATGATTCATAATTTGAGATTAAGTGTGAAAGAAAAATAAAATTAATCTGTTTAACATATAAAAAGTAGTATTATCTGGCAGAGCTGCATATACTCATCTAGTAGCTATTAAAGATACTGAGGTAATGTACATTCATAAAGGGAGCAGTAAATAGGAGTTATAAATCATGATCCACATTACACCTCATAATTACATAGCTAGAGAAAAATGCTGCTAAGAGTGATTAAATGAATCCACACACATATTTGAAAATTAGGGCCTACATGGGATTTCTTGACTGAAGCGAATTTGCGACCAAAACCATTAGAATTTAATACAAATTTTGATGTTTTCATAGACTGATGATGAGGAGTTTCTAAAAAATAATTAAGATAATATGTTTTCTGATTATATAGCTATATTGCAAGGTTAGTGATGGCTTGGTTTCTTATACTCTCCCTTGTTTTACAACATTTCTGAAAAATCATTGTATTCATCAGTATTTCACAAAATATTTCTGCATATATTGATGTTGGGATGGTCATTTTAAACAGGTGGTATATCATGTCCTAACTCCTAAAAGTATCCATAAAAATAAGGAATATCATAATTAGTGTCTACTTCAGGCATCAAACCAAATGTGTAAGTGTCCAAAAATGTCAAATACAACACATACTAATTCACGTGAATCATTAAATCAACTTAGCAATCCCACTATATTATTAGCGCTGCATATACTCTCACATCACACAAGGCATGGGCCTCATTAAATTGAGATGTAGCTAGTTAACCTATGGAGTTTGCTAGACAGTTGCAATATTTTTCTTATAGAAAAGTAATTAAACTGAGAAATGTAAATGGTAGGGTAACTATGCTATATAACTTTCTACATCACGCTAATTTACCACTTAAATTATAAATGCTTTGGGCACACCCTAGGTGCTAGGTACATAAAGGCAATTATGTCTTCTCCTCAAGAGACCCCAAGAAGAATGACCTCACTGGGTACAGAGGCAGCAACAAAGTGACAATGATGTCTTAAAATGATAATTCACCACTTAACTTAAAATGCTTTGGGGGAACCCTAGGTGCCAGGTACATATAGGCAATGATGTCTTCTCCTCAAGAGACCCCAAGAACAATGACCTCACTGGGTACAGAGGCCGCAACAAAGTGACAAATTATGAGGCTAGACTTGTTTGAGATAAAGAGGAGAAGAAAATAGTATAAACTTGCAGTACAGTTCATGTTTCCTTCAAATTAAATCTTAATCTGACATTATGATCCACAGCTGAGCAAGAGCCCTAATTCTAAAATCACAAATCATAATCATAAGTTGCCCATTGTACTATAAACCAACTATCAGCCTTTCACCTTGGGACACAGCTGTGCTGACCCGTTAAGGGTTTGTTTTGTTCACCTAATTTTCACTTATTTCAGGTGTAATAAGCTCATAATGTTCTGTTCAGTTCAAATAAGTTCAATTCAAGAGAAATAAGTTTTGATAAGGGCTACCCAAATACAAATTACAACTAAAATAAAATAAAAATAAAATCTAATAGGTTCAGGTAAGATTAAGATAAGTTCAGATAAGTGAAAATTAGGTGAATAGAGCACACCCTAAGCCATGAATACAAGCCAATCCCAATTAAGTTCATAAACCTCCGACATTAGGTGAATAGAACACACCCTAAGCCATGAATACAAGCCAATCACAGTTAAGTTAATGATCCGGCAACACTGATTAACATTTAAGTACTATAAACTTGAACCATACACAACAGCACTCAAACTTCTTTCCTTGATGGCTTAATCCGAAACAAATCAACCCAAAATTAAATTAACCAATATAAATTGCATTTTTTACACTACAACAGTCGGATTCCCTTCTTCCTTTGCACCGAAAGGGCAATCTCTAAGAAGAAACCTTTGCATGCCATTTCAATTTACAATCTACTATCACACCACAAACAAAAAATTCCTAAGTCTCTTGGACTTCGTAGTGGGATTTAGTTGAGTAAAGTTGTACAGGTGATTAGAAGATAAGGTAGTCATCATTATTTATTATTTTTAAATTCAGGTGAGAGAAAGTAGGGACCACAATGATTTAAACAAGTCAATACAATAAGAGCCAAAAAAAAAATGAGGGATTCTAAAAGATTATAATTAAGAGGGCAAAAAGGGAAATGGAAAGTGGGAAGGAGGGAGTAGCTGACAATAGGCCTTAAATCACAAAAATACTCATATTCTGACACCTATGTGATTCTAGAAGTGAAGATCAGAATATTAACAAAGAATTAAAAAAGGAACCACCACAGCATGAAGACACAAGCAAATTGCAAGGAAAAGTGCAGAGAAAGATAAGCCTTAAATCAAACATACATGAAACCAGATTCCCAATGTTAATCTAAGAAGCAAATAAACACATCATCAAAACTTTCCACACAATATCATAAAAGTGCCAGCAGTTATTTTCAAAGGAATCATTCTAATATCTAACTGATCCTTAAGCCTCACTAACACGGAAAAGGATTAATCACCCAAAATAATCTCTAATCTTAAACATGATAATATACATCATGTGGACTTCCTTAGTGATGTCTGATAAGTGTGATTTGCTCCATAAACAACTTCTTCTGTATCTTTAATTGTAGCAATTGTAACTAGACTTCTATGGGTTGAGATCAACATCCCTAGGACTACCTCCAATAACAAAAAATCTCAGTGTCCCAAGCAATGGAGTGACTCCACTCACTACAGCTTATGAACAAGTAAGAATCTCAGTATACAGTCACTACTTATCAGCCATGAGAGAGAGAGATTCAAAGTTTCCATGGATTCTTTAATATTATTATAATAAAGTACACAATTAAAGTTGTTCTACCATGGTAATGGGTTGCTTAGAGGCAAGAATCATTTTTACACAGTTTATGTCATAAGAGAAATAAAGACTGGAAATGATCGTGGGAATACCCAGTCCCTTCCCTATATAATGCTTTTGCCCAGTCCCTTCCCTAAATAATGCTTTTGCCACTTCTCCCATACATGCATTGACATAATAATTTGGCAATACATAATTCTTTATAACGAAATTTTAAATTCAGCAAAAATAGTCAATGAACTTTCTCAGTGATGGATCAGCAAAGTAAAGTACCTGCTCCTGTGTGATTGAAACTTAATATTCAGGTCTGTGTGCGCAGAATATGAAATTCGCAGATTACATGAACTCACATGCTCCGGAAGCAAATACCTATATCAAAATGTTTAGTCGGTATCAGAATATAAGAGAAGAAATTGACAGGCAGAGCAAGTGTATAGATATTTTTTTTCCCAAAACACCATACACAATTACACAGCAACCTCTAAATACAGGTTATATACTTGGCAAATTGATACATCATTCACGAATTGAAATGAGGACAAGGAAAGGAAAATTAAAAGGCAGCAATGACCTCATACCTGGGTATACTTCTCCCATCCAATGCATCCTTTGCTGCACTTGCTGTGTCAACATCGCTGAATTGGATTAACGCCTGCCATTCCAAATTAATAAAGTGAAACAATAGCAAAGGGAGAACACTACAGTACAAGGTGGAAGATCAAACTCTTTACCTGAAATCCAGCTGCCTTTTCAAAGGTGGCAATTTTGTGGACAAATCCAAAGGCAGAAAATACCTTTCAAACACAGAAAATCAAAAGGAACAATAGCTCAATAAGTATAGGATGAAATAAGAAAATGAACAACATGTGGCTCATCTCGATGCTCATCAGCAACTATGAAATTAGCAATAGACTAGAATCAGGTGCAGAACAAGACCTGTATATTTAAGCGTGACGATAGACCATAGAAAGCAGTATGACGCACATGATTTTAATTCCAAACTCTCTCCAACAAAAGAATTTAAATAAGAACCATCATCATCTGTGATTCAATGATGCCAATCAAAATTCACAATTACAAAGAAGACAGCCTATAAAAATTTAAGGACAGTCAATTACATTGCTGTAGCATAAAGCAACTCATACAGAAAGAACATTCAATATTAATGGCAAAAAAGAGCACCAAACAACAGGAGGGCAGAAAAAGATACGAACAGGAGGGAAAGATGAGAAGAAAAAAGATACTGAGAGAGAAAGAGAGTTGATGAAAGATAATGGGACTTTTCCACAAAAGTGAAGAAAAGGAAAATTAACCTATAGGAACAACTTTAAGTGAGACCAATCTGAATACATTGACCTTCGAGCTACCAGCCTAGCTATTACGATAATTCACCAAATGCTGCAAAATAGATCCAGCCTTGGTGTAAGCAAAGCCGTTTTGTGGGCAAAAAAAGCTGAAATTTTGTCCTGGTGCAAGTAGTTTTGATTTTGTGTCTTTTGAATGTATGAGTTTTAAACCTGATGTGCCAAGTATTCTACATAAATATGTTCATTTTAATATTGGTAACTCTCACTTCTTCTGAAAAGCATTTAGAGAAGCAATGTGTAGAAGGCATAGGGTACTCAGTTAAGTGCAGTCACTTTGAACCATAGTGAAGTAGAAATTAGATCAGTGTCCATAAAACAGAGAGAATAAAGATAACAAGGAACTTAACACTTAAAAGATAAGAAAGAGAATTCAAAGCATTCAAACTATTAGGTCACAGCTAAAATACTTAGGCTTGTTTAAATCAACTCAATTTAATTTATCTTACCTATTTCATACATATTCAAACATAATAAGTTTTCAGGACAACTTCAGACAAAATTTAATCAAACAAAAGCATGTAATTTATGTTACTAAAAAAAAAAAAAAAAAAAAAAAAAAAAAAAAAAAAAAAAAAAAAAAAAAAAACCTACATACCCAAAGAATTCACAAAATGTTGCTGACACATGGGTAAAGATATCATACCAAACAACTCACTTTCCACAACACCCATCCATAGAGGCATCACCAAGCAATATGGTTTACCTCTTCTCATAGACAGAGTCTTTCCTGCTTCCATGCCAATTAGTAACTTCCCCAAAACAAACAATTCTACAAGGCATGACTCATGAGTGACCCGGGGTCATAAACTCTGTGGTCTATAGTAAAGCGAGAGGCGCTAAGCAACTTTGGTTGCAGAATGAAGATTGGGCAAGGAGGGGGAGAACGGAGGCAAATGGAAGAAATTAGATAAACAATTTCATGAGGAAAAGGAGCACCTTCTGTTGACAGACTAATTGTGGAAGACAGGTATCTTTCTCTTTTTTCTACTGTTTTCTGTTACAAGAAACTTTATCTCGTTTTCTTATCTTCATTTAACACATCAACACATAGTTAAGGCCAGTACTTACAGCAAATGTTCCAGCTCTCCAATTGGCATCATATTATTTCTTTTATGTATAGACACCACTTCTAACTTTCCCCATCCACACTCTGAGGGCACATACATTGATAATATTAGCTTGTGTTTGTCAAAGAACAAAAAGGGTGAATAACATGATTGTTCATAAGGAAATAAATGTCCCAATCATCTCACAGCTACAGAATTTATGATACAAAAAAAATTTAGGGTTCTGTAATGCAAATCAAAGTGTTTTGACAATGGTATCTCTTTTGCAATTTATTTTGTGAGTGCTCCACATGATGGCAATGGTAAAAAGTACACAAGAGCCAAGATTCTCTTTCAGTCTGATTAGCCTTCACATACTACCTCTATCAGACAGCAGGAAAAAGAAAGACCACGTGATTGCTCCACCAGAATTTCATAACATAGCATAATGTTATAACTCTCTTCAAAAAGGCTTGTAACTTTTTTATCCCGTACATATTCCTTGGCATCCCATCCTAATGTCATAATGCCTTATCAATACTTAAGTTCTCTCTTTCCTTGAACAGTTGAACCTAACATAAATTGTCAAACTATCAACTTCGAAGCACCCCCTAAATCCAAGGTACAATATGCCCCTAAGTCCCAACGAAAACTAATTTACCACTCAGGCTCATAACATCAAATAAAAGCCTATTTATTTTAAACGGTTTCCTTAACCATTGATAACAGTAAATATTAAGATCATGTTCTAGACATTAGAAATATTGAACAATCCTGCAATCTAGCAATTACAAAATGACTTAATTTTAATCCGACTATTACAATAGTTATATCATATGATCATTCGGACAGTGAATAGAAATTTTGACACGGTTATTAAAGATCATAAGGCATTTATAAGGGGTAGGGTACTTTCCTAGCTTTTTCAATATAGCACAATACAATACTGTCTTTATCACTATACAAATTCAAGCGATTTAGATGTATTCCACAAATTACTATTTTCAAAACCTTGGCATAACTATGTTCACAAGTCTAGTGATCCTAAAAACCTAGTGCACAACATATAAATAGGCGTTTCGTTTGAAAGTCAATCATTCACATGACTCAGCAGCTTCAACATATCATCATCAGTTTCATCACAATGTAAAACAAAATGAAGAAATCATTGCATTGAAATTTAGGCCTTCAAGGAAGCACTCACCAAGTGAATAACTTCAATAGTCACGTCACCAGGTTGCACCCCTTCCATAGTAACTAGCAACACATTCCCCGGAATATCACCAGGGCTCTTATTGTTCACGATTTCGTGTCTATTCGAATACTGAATGTACACAGTTTTACCCCGAACTTGCGCCGGTTCTGAAGCCGACGCAAAATACGAAACCATAGAGATAGCCTGATTAAGGTCTGCCTGAAATCATACATCAAATTCCAAAAATAATCATTACACAACAATATCATCATAAATAATCCCATTAATCCCACCTACAATTCAAACAATTTCTATCATACCCACAAAACTTAAAAGCCCTAATTTCACAAATTAACCAATTTAAGACTATAAATTCAAAATTAAACACATACATATTCGACGAAAGCTTGATTACGATTGGCGCCGACATTGCACTTGGTATTGACGATCTTACCAAAGGGTTTACAGAGCTCAACAAGCTCCTCTTCGGAACACTCCCATGGAAGATTGCGCAAGTGGAGAACCTTCGATGGTGTCTGGGTGTACCTAAACTGATGTTGCCCAGAAGATGACATCGTAGAACTTCGAAAAAACTAGGGTTTTCGATGAATTTTAAGATTTCAATTTCACAAAATTGATCGAAGATAGAAAGTAGAGAAGAAGAAATTAGGGGTTTCGTTGGAGTTTTTGGGGGAAAAGGGTTTTTTATGAACGATGAAGATGAATGAAGTTTGGGTTTGTGGGATGATGAGATAGTTAAACCCGCTATCTGAGATTGGGATATTTTCGTCTACACCTTTAACAGACAAATTTTTTTTTTTTTTTTTTTTTTTTTTTTTTGAGGGTTGTTTTAATGATTTGAGAGATTCTTATATAGTGATAAATTGGATATGTCTTAAAGGTAAGGGTAATTTCTACCAGTTTGTTACTCTTTGCAACAAAAAATTTTGAAATGAGCTAAATAAAAAATAAATAAAAAAAATTAACCCAAAGTTGCATTTGTGTAATCGAATGTATAGAAGAATGTATGCTAACGTATTTATAACATGTACAACTCAATCTCTTAGACTGTTTGTAAAAAAAACATACAAAGTAAAACTTAACTAATTCTCGTCATATTATTTCATCTATTCCACAAAAGCACTTTACAGAATGGGCATATAGTTTAAGTCTATAATGAGATTTTGAATTTTGTCGACAACTTGGATTTGCTATTGGTGGATGTATATATGTGACGTGAGTAGAATCGAATCGGGCAAATAACTACAAATATCATTGAAGAGGGATATTATGTACCAATGCATTGAAAGAAACTTTAAGATCATTGATGACAACAAGGTTATTGCAAATTATGACTAAGGTTGAAAATTTAATTATTTTCTTTAAAATGAAAGAAGATTCCATTTTAGATAGTCATTGCTTTATAGGATGAGGCAAACCCATTAATAAGATTGGTCAGAAAATTTGGTTCCTTTTTTTACTATAATATAATCCCAAGTTCTTCTTTATTGATTCTCAATTCCACTTACAAATGGTAACACACCCGTTGAAATTTAGTTTAGCATTGTAATACTACTGCTTCTTTATTGCTACCACACTACGGCTTTATTCTTTAGAGTTGTTCTGATCTACTCTGCTGAAATCTTTTATTCTGCTTTGAGCCCTGATCTGCTCTACTAATTCAATATGCTCTACTCTGCTAACATCTACTATGCTCTACTAAAATCTCTCTGATCTGCCCTACTCTACTGAAATCTTCACTGCTCTAACAGAAGCTCAAACGAACAAGGCATACCACTACTATGGAATTATTGAGGAATTCAATGTGTAATTATTACTTCGTATTATGAATTGGTTAGCATAGAATTCTTAAGGAATTTAAGGTATGTAATTTAGACTTATTAATCTTGGTTGATTATTATGCCACTGCAAAGCCACTTGAATTTGATGACTATGAGACTATATATATATTGAATATTTGGATTAACTTGAAAATTCAAGTTTCTCCCATAATTTGGATTCTTTGGATCCATAATAAAGACACAACAATAAAGGGAAAGTAACTATATTATCTTTATATTAAGGTTAAAGATTAATATAAGGAAATTTTGAATTTTGGTATCTCGAAAATAATCCTAGTTGAATTTTCACACCCGTTTAAAACTTTTTTTTATTTTGGTACACATCAAAGTATCAAAGTGTAAAATTATAAGTTTTGGTACCTCAGTCCGTGTTCCGTTAAGTTTTCCGTTAGTGGGGTACTGCCACCTTCCACCACCCTTAGCCCCTATCTCCCCCTCCCTGTGCGGCTGTCGGCAACCCCGAGAAAAACGGCCTCCTCCCAGCCATCCTTAGCCCCCCTCTCCACTTCCTGTACGACTGTCGGCAACCCCGAGAACAACCTTCTAGCCACCAAAACACCAATTACCAAGTGCACAACCCACCACAGCAGCCTGTCGCCGCGACCAGGCATGCATCCCAGCCACAGCTGCCTACCATCATGGTCAGGCACGCATCCACCGAACACACTCCAATTGCCATCACCACCACTCGAAACTCCCTAATTCACCTCCCCCATTCCCAAAAAACCCCCCAAACACTCTTCCCCCCCTCCCAAAAAACCCCAAACATTTATCCCCCACTCCCGAAAAACCCCAAATACTCATCCCCCACCATCGAAAACCCTAGTCATTAGGGTTTCGGGGTGGGGGAAGGAGTGATTCGGGGTTCATGGGAGGGAGGGAAGGGTTTTGCGGTGGTTTAGGTGGGTTTCAGGGAAGGTGGAAAACAGGGGCTATGGCTTACATTGGAGGAGGGAAAGGGAGGGGGTGGGGTGGCCGACGCCTGAGAAATTTGGCCACTGACAGCCGAAAGCCAGTACGGGGAGGGGGAAGGGTGGCTAACGGGGAGGGGTGGCAGTGGCCAGTGGTTTTTTTTTATTTTTTTTTTTATTTTTTAAAGTTTTTTTTTAATAAATTAAATTATTAAATAATTAGATAACGGGCCCCACTAATGAAACATGGACAGAGGTACCAAAAACTATAATTTTACACTTTGATAGGTACCAAAATAAAATAAAATAAAATAAAAAATTTAAACCGGTGCGAGAATTCAAATAGGGTCATTTTCAAGTTACCAAAATTCAAATTTTCCTTAATATAATATAATCTGAAAAGAGTGAAAAACTATCAATAAATTAATAATAAACATTGACATTCGGGATACTAACTAGTTCACATCAAAAGCTTGTATTGTTGGTGATAGCGGAGTTGGCATCCTTGCCACGTCAACTTTAGTTTATTATAACTAATTATATTCTGTTGTAACAGAATTTGGAAGCTTCAAGATTTCAACTTATATTATTGTAGGGAATATTTCAAGCATCCCAAACTTGAGCCCCACTGTGATCATACACTTAAGCATGGTGGCGTCCAAAGGGAAGGAAGCTAGAGTAAAAGAGTCGCCAACAAGTTTTAGGACGGAATTTGTAAACCATTCACAAGGTGAAAGTTACACCCCTTCACAATCCATGAGATCGCTAACTTCATAGTAGTCTGGAACCATGACTGGATATTCGGGGATGAAGGTACAAATCCAACCTAAAACAGATTGAACTTGCCCTAAAAATAGGCCTCTACTTTATTCTTCTCATATTCATGTGCACTTTCTGACTAACAAAAGCCGAGCGAGAGTCTTTATGAGGCGTAGGAAAGGTACAAGGAGTACCAACGAGAATGTCCTCATCATGGGATTCCAACCTACCAAATCATTAAAATTTTCTATGGAGGATTGAGTCCTCAAGGAAAATCTTGTTTGGATGCCGGTGCCGGTGGCCCTATCATGAATAAGACGGAGGAAGAAGGTGTGGATCTAATTGAGAATATGGTGAGATACCATATGGATTTACAAGAAGGTGAGAGATAGTCGACGAGCAAGAGTTGTTCAACGGTCTATTCAATCGACCATCTCAATGCCATCAATAACTTGTCCTCACAAATTTCAAATTTGGGAAAGGAGATGACCTCAATAAAAGCAAAACTTGAGAGTGATTCCTCACAAGCACCTATTATTCCATCCCACAATAAGGGGAGAGGTATATCTTCTAACTCTACTCCTCTTTCAACTTCAAATAATATGTTAAGTGGATGTGTGTTTTGTGATGTTTTTGGGTCTTATGACCACGATTCTTCTAGTTGTCCACATGCATTTGAGAGTTGTGATGAAGGTGAGAGCAATGATTGTGAGCAAGTGAAATTTGTTTCCAATAGCAACAATGGACCAAGGTTTGATGGTCCAAGACAATTTGGGAATAGAAATACTTACCAACAAGGGAATTTTGACAATTATAACAATGGTGGCTATAGAAACCAAGGAAACCAAAATTTCCGAGGTAACTATAACAATCAAGGTTATAATAATCAAAATCAAGGCCAATACCAAAACTGGGGTAATTGTAATAATCAAAATCTGGGGAATTTTCAAAATAACAACCAAAGGGGACCTCCACCCGGATTTGCTCCAAAGACCTAAGAAAATGGTGAGAATTTCTATGCTCAACCTTCAAATTCCAAGACTACCTTGGAAGAGATCATCGAGAACCAAACCAAGATTTTGAACACTTACATGTCGGTGAGTGACAAAAAGTTTAATGAGATGAGGACACACAATAAGATGATTGAAACACAAATCTCTCAATTGGCTAACACCTTGAAAGAGAGTGTGAATGATATTCCTTATTCTTTACCCTCACAAGGAGTTGAACCTAAGAAACCCGTGTATTCAATCACCACAAGGAGTGGGAAAGTGCTTGAAAAGAGAGTTTCTAGGAAGACTAAGGAAGATGAGAGGATGAGTGATTCGTGTGAGGAAAAAGAGAATAATGTGTCAAGAAGTGTGAGCAAGGAGGAAGTTCAAGAGAAAAAGAAGAGTGATGAGTCTAGCAAGGTGAGTGAGAATTCTAATGAGAAGAGTGTTGAGAAAGAGAGGAAACAAGATGAGGATTTCAAACCGAGACTTCCATATCCCCAAAAGTTCAATAGGTACAAGTTGGATGAACAATTGGGAGATTTATCGAGATGCTAAGGAAAATCCATCTTTCTATTCCTTTCACCGATGTTTTGGGAGAAATGCCTAACTATTCTAAGTTTCTTAAGGAAATCTTGAACGGTAAGAGAGATTGCAATGCGGTTGAACCGGTGAGTTTGGAGGAGTGTTTTAGTGCTTTTATCCATAATGACTTACCCCCAAAGATGAAAGATCCATGAAATTTCTCCATTCTTTGCAAAATGCCCTTTGTGATATTGGTGATAGTGTTAGCATCATGCCTTACTCCGTTTTCAAGAAACTTAATTTAGGTGAGCTTTTTGCAACCAACATGACCCTTCAATTGGTCGACCGTTCTATTAAGTTCCCAAAAGGTAGAATCGAGGATGTGCCCCTCAAAATAGGAGAGTTCACTATTCCCGTAGATTTCATTGTGCTTGAGATTGAGGAAGATGACAACATTCCTATCATTTTAGGGAGGCCATTCTTAGCAACTTCGGGTGCTTTAATAGATGTGAAAGATGGCATGATTACTTTGTGTGGTGGTGATAGTAAGGAGAGTTTTAAGCTCCAGTCAATGCATGAGTCTCTATCTTATGTGCAAGGAATTATGTACATAAACTCTTTGTGTTCGAATGCTAATGATTTTATATTTGTGTCTTCTACTAACAATATGCTTGTAGCTTGTGATGTTCCTAAAAGTGTTGAACGCAAGGTTGTTACTAAAGAAGACAAGGATTTATCAAAGCTTGAAGATGAGTTTGAGATGCCCTTTTGGTTTGATCTTTCTTTGAAGGAAGATTAAAATAGTTTTTCAAGGGGTGAAAATGCGGATCTTAAAGATCCAAGGAAGAAGAGGCCAAGGAAGAAGAAGAGATTTTCTAAGAAATACAAGAGGAAGTTGAAGTCCGAAGAGTTTGATTTGGTATCCATGATTCAAGATGACATGGTTCATGAATGACTTTGCACAAGCTTTGCAATGGTTTTATCCTTTCCACCACTTTGGATAAGGTGGTGCTTTTTGACCCTCCGTGATTTGGAGGAAGGGTCGAGCTTAGGACCTTAAGCAAGTGCTTCCCGGGAGGCAACCCGGTTTTCTAACTTTTTTCTCTTGATTCTATCTTTCTAAATTTCTTTATTTCACTTGTCTTGTTGTTTGGATTAATAGGTTGAAATCATCGGAGTTGGATTATCCCGAGCGAGCTTGAGCGTAGTGGGAACTTTTTTCGTGGTGTTTGGTAAGATTATGCTCGATATTATTAAATTTTGAGAGGAATGGATAAGGTAATGTAGGAGGTAAGTTAGGAAAAGATGTGCTAAAATTTGAAGCAAATATGAACTTGGTGGGTTCATTATGGTGCTCTCATTAATTTGGAGTGTTGAACCCACTGAAAATGAATTTAGTTACTGGTTGTTTTAGTGGGTTCGATAATCTCGGAATGATAAAGATCATTGTGCCCATACATGAACACACTAAGAGAAGAAGTTAAGCAAAGGAAGCGAAGCATTATCTTATTAAGCGTGATTACAAGTAAAAATTCCCTTTAAACATGCATAAAAGGTGTGATCAAGCAATAACAATAATAATATCAAGCAACATAACAACAATCATCATCATAATAATAATAATAATAATAATAATAATAATAATAATATTCAATCTCAATAAAGCATAATAATATTAGCAAGATCCTAGGCATGATACTAACATGATTAATAACAAACCCTAGCATGTCACTAAACAATAAAGATTAAAGCTTTATCCCTAACACGATACTAACATGATATTAGAAAAGAATAGGAAGCATCCCAGAAATATACATGATATTAGAAATTAATAAAGACATCCTAACATGATACTAGGAATTATAAAATTATAAGCATGATTTCTATATCAAAAGAATAACAAAGTAATTAAATTACTTACTTGGATGCCTCGTATCTCTTTCTAATAACAAGATCCACGCGTTAGTAACTTCAAGGATAATATTAAATCAAATAATTAATTTAAATAATTGAAATAGAGGTTTGGGACCAAACCCTTAGAAATTATCAACCTTTCACGTCTAGGGCGAAGGCAACTTCGAGCTTGGCTAGGTATGTCTAGAACTAATGAATGTGAAATTTTGTTTGAGGGAAAGGTTTAGAAAAAGAATAGAGAGAGAATAAGCTTCTAGCTTTAGAGAGAGAATTAGAGATTGTTGATGGTTGTGAATCATTTGAAAACGGAGGTCAAGGACCCTATTTATAGAAAAATAGTCCGAAAAGCGATCGAAAAGAAATCAAGTTCCATTCGGAATAAAAGACCTCCTGTCGCGAACGACATGAGCTAGCGCCAGACGATAGGCACCAGCGTCAGGCGTTAGACTTTGTCGCCTGGCGACAGGCTTGTCACCTTGTGCTGAGTTAGAAATAAAACGCGCTTTACAAGCGAAATCCTCTTCTTAATATGATTAGGCAGCAAATTTCTTTGTTTATCAATTAAAACCGGGTTTATCATAAAACATTTATTTTATTCCAAGTAAAACTCTTTAAAATATAATTATCAATCCTAATTTCATTAGAATTTAAAAGAACCTTCTAAATATTCTAGAAGATTAAAATCAATCCTAATAACTTTAGGAATAATAATTAATAGGCCCTCCTCTAGGTCATTGGGCCGCATATAAAATTCATTTCGGGCCCGATTTAGTATTTTTGCCATAAATTCCTCATTATTCATCAGAATTGGGCTTATAATATATCGTTGGAAAGCTCTTTTCGAACCCAAATCCAACTACACTATTATTGGACCGTTATCATGGACCAAAATAAAATTGAATGGCTATTTTCATAAATAGAGCACATTTTTAAAAACAAAAAAGAGGGATATTTTAATTAAAAACAACCGCATCACTAGATTTTTCACACTTTCACTTCGTTCGATAATCAAATGACGTGAAAGGTATTCATCACTAGGTTTGGTTCTGGGGAGACACATTTGGGTGTCTATAGTTATAAATAGGCTTAGCTCTTGTAAAATTATCATTCACAAAAATATCTTGCAATAATATCTCTGTGATTAAGCATAGATTGTTTTTCATTTTCTCTTAAAGTTTTTCCAGATTTTACTTCTTCAATCAGAAATTGTCATGTGCCACTATTCAAGGAAATATACTGATGATGCATAATTTTCCTAAAGTAACTAAAGCTTTCAGGTTGTTTGCTTAAGAAGAAAGACAACATGATCTTACTCGAAATGCAGAGAAAAGTTCAGAACAGCAGGGTAACCTATCCATGATGGCAGGTAATCTTTGTTTACTTTCTTAAACTAATCTGAAATGCATTTCAGATTAAATAACCTTTTCGTAGTGATTATTTTAACCTTTAGCATCGACTGTAATTGCAACAAAAAGCTTTCCCAACGAATGGTCATTCGATACAATATCCCCCGTTGCCTTAGCCTTTGGTAGTGGTTTTCCATATCGTTGGGGTTGGCCTCAATAATCGATACAAAAAACTACATCCAATCGTGGTGATTATTGCAGCAATTACAATCGCTATAAATGTTTAACTCATTTTCTTCAAAAAAAAAAACATGCGTATGATCTTTACAAGATTCGAACATGCAACCTCAAACTCTTATATTAAATGTTTCACCAATAAGCTATGACATATTTTATGTGTTATTTGTCAAACAATATTTATATATTTAGTTTTGATTAGCCTTTTCGTATCGATCTTTAGGATTTAGTGGCGATTGTAAATGATACGATTTCTCTAAATTATATAAATGTGTAAAAATAGTATGGATATGTATTATTATGTTTTCCGTATCAATTTTATATGGGAAAATCATGGCGATTGTAAAATGATACGACTTCCTTAACTATTTCACAAACATACTTGCATATTGTAGCAAATGTACAATCGCTATGAAATAATCGCTACGAAAAGACATTTTTCTTGTAGTGATGGCTGCTATATAGTGGTACTTCTGATCATTGTTGCTATGATTTGAATTAATTTTCCACATATAAACTTGTAGAAAATGATAATAGTTTCATCACTATTCTCGATGGGAGTAAAATTGCTATAAAACATACTGGATCTATAGTGTTGAATGATTCAATTACTCTGGAGAATGTATTACATGTCCCAAATTTCAAATATAATCTGATTTTAGTTCATAAACTCTTTAGAGACATGAAATGTGAATTACATTTCACTTCAAATAAACGTTTTCTCTCATGTCAGAAAGGGAAATTGATTTGTCTTAGTAGTGTGAGATATGGTATGTACAATGTGGGTGATAAGTGTCGACACCCAAATGTGTCTCTCCAAAAACCAACCCCAGTGATGAATACTTTTCACTTCATTACTTTTCACGTCATTGATTATCGAACGAAGTGAAAGTGTGAAAAGTCTTGTGATGCAGTTGTTTTAATAAAAAAATTTCCTTCTATTTTCGAAAATCCACTTTATTTATGAAAATAGCCAGTCCAATTTAGTTTGGTCCATGACAAAGGTTCGATAATAGTGTAGTTGGATTGGGCTCGCAAAGAGTTTAACATTGATATATTATAAGCCCAATTCCGATGAATAATGAGGAAGTTATGGCCAAAATACTAAATTGGGCCTAAAATAGTTTTATGGCCCAATGATCTAGTGGAGGGCCCATTAATTATTATTCCTAAAATTATTAGGATTAATCCTAATCTTCTAGAATAATCTCGAAGGTTATTTTGAGTTCTAATAGAGTTAGGATTGATAATTATATCTTTGAAAAATAAAGAATTTGATTTGAAATAAAACAAGTGTTTTATTATGATAAAATTTGATTTAAAATAAACATGGAGTTTAATTACTTTATTATATTAAGAAAAGGATTTTTACAAAGCACGTTTTATCTTTTAATTAGCGCCAAACGAAAAGTCTGTCACCAAATGACGGACCCTGACGCCAAACGTGATGGTTGTCGTTTAGCGCTGGGTCCTATCGTTGACGACAGGAGCCAATTTTATTTCGTTTCAAATTCTAATTCTTTTCTATCGTTTTCGGACTATTTTTCTATAAATAGGATCATATTTCCCCTTTTTTATTCATCAACAATCAACTAATTCTATTCTTTCTCTCTCTCTCAAGCTAGAAGCTAATTCGCTCTCCCTCTTTCTAAGCCTTCCCTTTACAAACAAAATTCCGCATTCACAAGTTCTAGACACACCTAGTCAAGCTCGAAGTTGTCTTCGCCCTATACGTGAATAGTTGATAATTTCTGAGGGTTTGGTCCCAAATCTCTATTTCAATTATTTAAATTGATTGTTTGATTTAATATTTTCCTTGAAGTTTTGTTATTAGAAGGAGATATGAGGAATCAAAGTAAGTAATTTAATTACTTGATTATTCTTTTGATATAGAAATCATGTTTATAATTTTATATTAATTCCTAGTATCATGTTAGGATGCTTTAATTTTCTTTCTTGTATCATGTTTAGGATGCTTCCTATTTCTTCTATCATGTTAGTATTATGTTAGGGTTAAAGATTTGATTTTTATTGTTAAGTGACATGCTAGTTTTTTTTTATTAATCTTGTTAGTATCATGCCTAGGATATTGCTAATAATATTATTATGCTTTGATGAGATTGAGATTATTATGCTTTGATGAGATTGAGATTATTATGCTTTGATGAGATTGAGATTATTATGATAATGATTTGTTATTCAATATGTTGCTTGATATTATTATTGGTATTGCTTGATCACACCCTCTCTTGCAGGATTAAAGGGAATTTGTACTTGTAATCACGCTTAATAAGATAATTAA